CCCTCTTGCTATTAGGAGAATGCCCTGCAGCAGCATCCATACTTAGCTTGTATACACACACACACACACACACACACACATATATATATATATATATTCAATCTATTTCAGTCCAGTCACAATTCACGTTACATTCCAACCACAATATACGAACTTCTCACAATCATATTCATACAAGTCCACATCATCCTCATGTCAATCAACACACTCCCACAGGGCAATCCACACATAAATATATATATATATATATATATATAATACTTTAATAATTAAACAATAATACAAAATTTGGGGTGTTACACAAAGGACCCACCAAACACTTTAGATACTAATAATCGTACTTTATTTGTCACTTAGGTTAATTACATTAATAGGGTAGTAGCAAGATAACTAACAAAACTTTAAATTCAGAGACCTTGAGGAAAAATAATTCACTAGTAAATAGTTCCTGACTTGGATAGACATTTAGATTAATGAATATTTGTAAATGGGAATAGATAAATGGCCGAACAATAAAAGAGTACCGCTAATAGACTTCCCTAACATATAGAACCTTAGAATCCAAATTCTATAAATCAAAGAAGTTGTGGAGTGAGAAATAATGAGAAAAGACTTGACTGTAAGTGACTTCCCAAAGGAATAAAGTGTGGTGTAACTGTTACATTAGCTAACTACAACCCTAAAAGAAGAGGTAAAGGATAATCTAAAACTTACTATGTGATCATGCATCATGCTCATAAGGTCGGGGAAGGCAGAATTAAGGCTACAGTTGGCACAGTTGTGGGGCACTTGTGTTAGGTTTAATGACAAACCTTGGGGGTGACGAAAGGGGAAGGATGACCCAATGGTGTAGAGTAGCTCAATGTGACTGTGACACGTTGCTAGCAAACCCTTGCTAAACCTAACGTGAACACTCGTTACTAGAATCGCAGTAGGCTCATTCCTAAATGGCACCCTTGAGGCGTGTAAATAACAAATGTTTTCACTCTAAAATGTGTTGGATGTGATAGTAGGGAATGGAGTTCTCCGATCGCCTTGAGATTGGAATTAATGTTAATTGAATGGAAGAACATAGGATCCCCATGCATTGCATAAGAGTTGGTTAAAGAAAAAGAAAAAAAAAACCACATAATTAACCTGCATCATGCAACATTACATCCATATTACGAGTGATCTCATTGTCTTTACTTTAAATATAGTGATGTTTTATATATATTTGATGTATAAGGTCTTCCTGTATACCCATTGCATGGTTTAATTAATTAAATTCTATAGACTCACCTTTTTCTCTTTTCTTTTATATGTTTGGTGTGTTTATTGGTTGGTGTATTTTATGTGTTATGTGTAGATAGGTTCTGACATGATCAAGGTGTTAGTGCTCCCGACAACGGATGATTTGTGGATTTATGATGATACTACTTAACAGACCATCTACCAAGGGTTTGCTAGAATGACTCTTGGTTCAGTTACAGAGTTGGGTTGGGAACTCCGTTGTACTACAGACCTACCAGTTGAGATCGTTTTTACTTTGCCCTTACATGCTACTGCCACACCTTTCCCTCTTATCTTTCCTAGGACTGCGCCAGCTCCCATGGACATTGATGTCCTTGCTCCTGCACCTATCCCAGATAGTACCCCTGACTCCTATGTACCTCGACCTTCTTCCCCTCTCTCCTACTAAACGTGAGTGCGTTGATATTCAAGTAATTGAGTTGTCTGTCCAACCCCGTTTGCCTACTCCACCTCACCGACTTTCACTAATCGATGAAGCTGAACCCTCCACCGTAGTCTTTCACCACTCTTATCCTCTCCACTCTCCCACATACCTTAACCTACTCCTGGCTGGCTAGAAGACATAGATGAGGACTTGCCCAACCTGCCTACTAATCCTGATGCGACACTATCCACTTCACTAGATTCTAATCCCTCAGAGGAATACACTCCTCTAGACTAATGTTTATATATGTTTATATATTTTTCTTTTTGCATGATGGGGGGATGTTATGGGAATCGATAATTGTTTTTTGTTCTTTTTAGGGCTGTATGATGACACTTTCCCTGGGGTGTAGTAGGTGTTTGAGACCCTTTTTCTTCCTTTACTTTATAACAGTTTATGTATGTGACTTTTGTATTGTGAATTAACTTGTTCCGGATGTTAGTTGAAAACTCATTTAGTATTTAATTTGTACTTGGATTTAATATGTTGAAGTTATTTTCTTCATGATGTTAATGATGTAAATATTGAATACATATGTAAACAACTAAATTGTTTTTGGTTATGCACATTAATTTTTCTATGTATCTATATATATACATATAACGTACTATGACATAATACTACGTCTTTGGGCGTATGCCTAATGTACTTGAGTCTATAACGTTAGGATGTTACAACTTGACTGTCACAATGAGTGTTGTTAGCCAATTTATGTCATTTCTGAAAGATACTCATTAGAAAGCACTAATCCTCATTGTGTACAAAGATCATGGACATGCATAGGTAAAGGTGTTTTCTTATGTTGTTTGGGCAAGATCTATGATCCAAAAATCTACTAATAGATACTTGTGTTCTTGGGAGGTAAATTAATTTCATGGAAAAGTAAGAAGTAGAATGTTGTATCGAGATTGAGTGAGGAATCATAATACAAGATGGTGACTCAAACTACCTATGAGTTAATGTGGTTGAAACATATGTTGGAAGAGATAGGATTTGGCAGCACTAAGCCTATGCAACTTTGGTGTGATAACCAGGTAGCAATATACATTGCCTCAAATCCAATTTTTCATGAACGGATGAAACATATTGAGATAGATTGTCACTTTATTCGAGAAAAAGTTTAGTATAAGTTTATATCCACCTTTCATGTTAGGATAGACGACCAACTAACAGATGTGTTTACAAAGGCTTTAAATGGAACACGTAGCAATTATATTTGTAATGAGCTGGGCATGATTAATATTTATGCTCCAACTTGCTTGAGAGGGGATGTTATGCATAGTTATAATAAACTTATTAGAATTAGGGTTTATGTTAGTATTATAATAACGAGCTTGGCCCATTAAGGTTACATATGTATCCTTATAAATATAAGGGTCTATACACATTGAGGAGGATCAATCTAATTCCAATACACTAATTTGTCTCGCTCGCTCTATGTTTTATCTCTTAATTCTACAATCAACTTCATCCAAAAAAAACTACTACTTTAGTATTGGTGTATATAAATGATATAGTCATCATCACTAGCAACTCCCACATTTTGTACAAACTCATCTAATCCCTATTTCATTCCTTTCCATTAAAGGGTCTTGGTCCTCTTAACTATTTTCTAGGTATTCAAGATAAGCCTACTGCTTTTGGAGGTCTTCGTTCTTCTCAAGAAAAGTAAATTAATGACCTTCTTGCCAAAGTCAACATGTCTAATATAAACCAACTGAGAATCCAACTCTTTATAGATTAGTGGTTGGTGCCTTACAATACATCACTTTCACCAAACTTGAGATAGTCTTTTTTATAAGCTAAGTATGTTAGTTCATGCATAATTCCAAAGCATCTCATTGGATCCTAGTTAAGAGAATCTTGAGATACCTAAAAGGAACATCCATTTATAGGCTTACTATGGTCAAATCACCCACATTGCTCCTCCTAGCTTTTTCTGATTTAAATTAGGGAATTGATTTTGAAAGGAAATCTACATTAGGCTATTGTGTTTTTTGGACTCTAGTATCATTTCATAGTCTTCGAAGAAATAATATATAGTCTCTAAATCTAGCACTGAAGTCAAATATAGGAGTCTACCTGTTGTTACTGTTGCATTAGTTTGGATAAAATATTTTCTAATTGAGCTTCATTCTATTCACCAAACTGCAACTATTCATTATGATAATTTAAGAGTTGTTTTTTTACCTACAAATCCTATTGTCCATTCAAGAACCAAATATTTTGAAATTGACTTGTTCTTTGTCAGAGACAAAGTTATAGTTAAGGAAATTAAAGTAAATCACATCTCATTCGGTGCTTAAACTGTTGATGTTCTTACCAAGGCTTTATCACAAATTTCCTTTTTTAATTGTAGATTCAAACTTAGGATTCACAATTATGTTCCCATAAGTTTTGAGGGGAGATATTGAGAGTAATGATCATGTTAAGGATAAAGTTAGTTAAAATTGTTTCTTATATCTATTATTAGTTTTCAGTTAGTTATATTATATAGATATGAAGTAGTTTGTTACTCTTTCTTCCATATATATACCTTGTTTAACATTTTTGTAATTTGAGTCATATTGATTCAATAATAGTAATCCTTTCTTTATTTTGATTCACATTGTTCTCTCACTTTGTGTTCTCCTTCCTTTAACCTTTACTGCTGAGATATTTTTACTCCGAACATTGCTCCAACTGATTGTTCGAATGATGGTTGTAAACAATGGATGATGACTACTTTGTGGTGTGATTTTAGTAAACTATGGGTCTCTTTCTTTGACGGTGGTTGTGAATGTTAGTGACGCATATTTGGTTGACTGGTAGCAATTACAAAGCCTAAATCATTTCTACCTACCCACAAACTAGTAGAACCCGCCACTCAATTTACTTGAGTTTCAATCAAAACAAGCGGGGAAGAAAACTCACATAGTTGCATTGAGATTGGGGGATTTTGATCCAAAATCAACCAAATCAGCCGTAAAAGAGTCGTTTTGTCTTGTTCATTATTTTGTTTTTCTAAGACACTACGTAAGTTTCCAACTTATAATTAATTATATGCAATACAATTTTTTGTAATTAAGATCTTTAGGCACAATATTTTAGATAATTTTGATATTGACCTCTGAACATAATTTTACCTTCATAACTAATGCCAACTTTTAATACCGATTTTTATTGGACAGATGTGATACTCCAATTTTAATAGAACAGTACCAAACACCAAGAGCATGTTTGATTTCTTTTATATTATATTATATTTAAAAAAAAAAACTGTTCTTAAGAAATCAAATGTTTTAAGTACTGCCCCTAAGTTTTGCATTTTTTTTTTAATAAATATGAATTAGAGAAACATTATATATTGGGCAGGGTCTGGCGTTCAAAGAGCATGCAGAAGTAGCTATTTCCATTGTACAAGAGAAACTTAAATTTTAGCAATTACAGCAACAACATTCCAAAACTGATTCTAACTGTGCCAACAAGAAAAACTACCAGTACAAATGATCTTTGCTTCTGTCGTGCTTCCTAATGAAGAGAAAAAGGCTGAGCAGGCCAACTGCGTCTCCGGCCATCAGGATCAACACCAGCAGCTTCTAAGGAAATGTCGATGCTGCGATGCTCTGTAGAACGAACAATGCTGACACGCAAATCAATCTTCACAGCAGGATACACGTCAGTGCCAATTGCTTCCAGTTTACCCCCGTTTTCTTTTCCAGATCCCATTGCAATTGGTTCCCGAAAGGTCAAAATTGTTTGTGACCAATGTGTTCTTGGTGTGTAAGGTGATGTGGATAACACAACTGGCGTTTCACGACAGAATCTGCTTGTAAATCCAGTTTCAAACCATAGGACAACACCATGACACCAGCAGCATGTTTTAGAATTTAAACGCATTTCATTTTTATCTGAAGCAGTTGGTTTCAATTGCAAGGTAGCAGTTGCAGTAAAATCCACTTCATTAGGCTTCATGGTTGCCAAGTCAAAGGTCTGGTGACAAAATAAACGCATTTCAACAGTCAATTTGAAACTACTATAAAATGGGTAGAGTTTATTATAAAAAAATTATCCTGGAAAATTACCCCTCCCCCCTTTTTCCCCCAAAATATTGCTTTGCATTGCGCGCATACACGTAAGACCACAATTAAAGAATGAGCCAAAATGAGTTATGTATCTAGAAATGGATAATACTTTTGATTTTCATTTGCAAAAATGCATTGATATATAAAAGAAATAAAATAAAATTGGCATTTCTTTTTATACAGGCATGGAACAGGGGCATAGTAAGGAAGAGTTGAGATGATATTGCTTTCTAACCTAGGAGACATTTTCTACTGAATAAAATAATTTTCATCATTTAACCCACGATAATAAAACGTTTTATGCAAATAAAAAACTTAAATATCCTCAAGGTGATTTCAAAATGGAATAAAAAATTTGCTATGATATTAATAATGTCTTGCAAAACAATCACATTAGCAAAACGCACCAACCTGAAGAATCGCAGAACTGGTAACTAAATCTTGAGAGTCCACAATATCAACTATAGGAATTCGGGCAGCATCTATGACAAGCTCTTTCCCAATGCAAGACATGTCAAAATCACACACATTTTCCCAAAATGAAAGACTTGTAGCTCCTTTTCCAAACCCTGCAACAAACTAGAAAAGGTGGAATAATAAATATACTACATAAACTTAACAGTACAGACAACCCCTGAGGAAAATTTGTGAAAATGAAACAAATGAAGGGTGAAAAGAAGGGAGACTCACAATAGTTGCTGTGTCAGGAAGAATGGCACCGCCAGGCTTCAACCACCGCTCCCGTGCGAAAAGCACTGAACCAAGCATGGATTCATACAACAGGCAATATCCCATCCATTCACTGAGTAATACATCAACACTGTGAGGTTGAAGCTCAGCTGTTTTATCAATCTCTTCAACCATACCATGAACCACTTCTACAACTCCCTTCTGGAGGGCATTGACTCCATTTTGGCCTTTACTTAGCCAAAGACCATTATCTTTTGCAACCTAAATTAAAAGGAAAAGAATGGGTAAAAGAATTGAGCATGCAACTAGACATGTAGTTGAACAGGAAATTATAGAAACTACCAAGCAGGAAACCTATACCTGAGATGCCACCGCTGCCATCTTTGCACTAGCCTCAACTGCAATAACCCTTGAAGCCCCTGCTTTTGCTGCAAATAGGCTACAGAAAAAAGAATAGCAAATCTGTCACAAACTTACAATGACAGCGCAATAAATATGGTAGGTGAACACATACATAGACCCCAAAAACCAACTTACAAGCAGAGACCAACAAATTGCCCCCCCTTAAAAGCCTTCTAATGTTAAGAGAACAAAGGTAAATTTGACATTTCTGTTGTACATCAAATAGTGGCCACAAGAGCCGCGATTTTCTGCAATTTTGGCTGTGATTAATGCCGCTCCAGCCGCTACACTGAACTACGACACTATGCAAGAGGAATAGCGGCAGGGGCTGTTACACTGTTATGGTCGCTATTAACTACTATGAGTCTATCAATCTGAGGAAAAGCATATGGAACATGATAAATGACTTCTATGACTACCATGAATTAAGTTGATGAAATCTTCAATCTTGAGAGAGAGAGAGAACAGGGCATAAAGAGAGCCAGTATAACGCTTAAATATAACTCTGCGTAGCAATTGATTAGTTCACTGAGAAACCACTTAGTATATTTCAAAGCACTCATCTACATATAAGACTACCATGGTGCATCAATTAATTTTATATATAAAAGAAAGGGAAACCGAGTACATGGGATCTAGGGATGATAGATGTAGCCTTACCCCTGCAAGTGAACAGGTGGTTTCTAGGATTTTTGAACCCATAAACCCCAGGTCACAAGACTCACCCTAAAGATGAAAAGAGCAGGCTATGTTTTTCATGTAATAGGTGAGAAGGATGGTAGTCAAAATCATGTGCTGCCTTGTAAAATCGCACAATTTTGCGATCTTCATCCCTGTCTTTGTGCTAGCTCAGTGACAAAATCATGACGCAGCAAGATCGGGTGGAATTGCTGTGCCGGATCATAAAATCAGTAAGCTTAGATGATCCCACCATGTTAAAAAACCCAATATTTTATCCAATGACCCATGACCCACTTTGTGACCTGGTTTGCTAAAAACCTATTGAAAGCCTAAAATCAATTCAGAACTTGCTTCCCTAAAGGTTTCCTATGCTTTGAGATTTTGTTCCACTTCACACAACCCTGTTTTGATCTACTGCGCAGCCTATGCTCTATTCTGTTGTTCTCTTCTCTTTTTTTCCCTGCTCTATGGGTGGGTGTTGTCCATGCACAAGACTTCAGTTGTAGTGGGTGTTGTCCATGCGCAATACTTCAGTTGTGGGTGGGTGCCTGTGTTTGTGGGAGTTGTTTGGCTGTTGTGTTGTTTATATAGACAAAATGACTAACTTCATAGAAAACTGCAGTTGGTAGTTCTAGTCCTAGTCAAGCTCCTTCTCAGCCATTACCAAAGAATGCACCGAGAAACAAGTGATGTAGGATGGCAACATGGGATTGCAAAGTACAAGAAGAATCCAATGCAAATATTGTCAAAAGATGGTAAGCAGAGGTGCTTATCAGTTGAAGCATCACTTGGCTCAAACAGCCAAAGATGTTGGAGCATGCAAATCTGTTCCAAATGAGGTGAGGAAGGGAATATGGGACTCACTTGTAAGTATGCAAGAAAAATTGAATAAAAGATCAAATTCTAGTGCTTCTGTCCAGAAGATTGAGAACGAGACTTCAGATACAAGTAGTGGAAATAAAAGAAAATCTAGTGAGAATGAGGCGTTTGGAGGAGGAAATATTTTTCAGAAAAGGGGTGCAAGCACCCAAGCAAAAAACACCAGCATGTTCAACAAGACTATAAGAGTCGCAGCTTATCAAGCAACTGGAAGGTTTTTTTTATAATAATGCCATATCATTCAATATGGCAAGAAGTGATGAATTTCCGATTATGGTGATTTAATTGCTAGTCATGGTCTTGGATTTAAACCATCAAGCTATCATGAGATTAGAGTAAAGTATTTGAAGAAGGAAATAGAGTTGACAAGAGATTAGAACATAAAGCTGAATGGAATACTATTGGATGCACATTGATTACTGATGGATGGACTAACAAGAGAAGAACAATATTGACCTTCTTGATAAACAGTCCTAAAAGAACTTTTTTTTAAGTCCATTTTGCATCTCATATAAAAACAGCTGATAAAATCTTTAAAATGCTTGATGATGTAGTTGAAGAGATTGGAGAGAAAAATGTAGACCAAGTTATGATTAATAATGCAACAAATTACAAAGTTGCATGGGAGATGTTGATGCAAAAAAGAAACACTTCTATTGGACTCCTTGTGCGGTACATTGTCTTGATTTGATGTTAGAAGACTTTGAGAAGAAGATACTCATTCACAAAGGGACAATTGCAAAAGATAGAAAAATTACAATCTACATTCTATTCAACTATGGGTCTTATTTCTTTATTGCAACATTTTATCATGGCAAAGATTTGGTGAGGCCTGAAATTACTCATTTTGTCACATCTTATTTGACTCTAAGGTGTCTTCAAAAAAAATAAAACTGCTTAGATAAGAATGTTCACATCTAATGAATGGAAGTCCTCCAAGTTTGCAAAGACAAGAGATAGGGGAGTTATAGAAGAATTGGTTTTGAATAAATTATTTTGGAAGGACATTATTACTTGTTTGAAGGCTACATTTCCTCTTATCAAAGTTCTTTAAATGGTTGATGCAGATGAGACAACAGACTTTATTTATGATGCAATGGATCAAGCTAAAAAGAATATTCAAACTGCTTTCAATGGTGTTAAGAAAAGGTAACTACTATCAAATTAAATTAGTAAATATTTTATAATCTATGTAGTTTTGTATATTGAATCTTGACAAGTAATTCAATTTATTTCATTCTTTTTTGTTTCCTCTTTTATTAATTATTTACCTATATGGAATATCATAGATAAAAGATGGGACAAACAACTTCATAGGCCTTTGCATGCTACAGATTATTTTCTTAACCCTATGATGCACTGTAGTCCTAAATTTAAGGTTGATCTCGAAGTTATGCATGGATTATATAATTGTTTAACAAGGATGGTGCTTGAAGAAGATGAACAATATAAAATTGATTATCAACTTGATTTATTTAAAAAGCAAGCTAGTAATTTTGATAGTCATTTAGCTAGAAATACTATTGATATGCATCTGCCAACTAATTGGTGGGTGTCTCATGGAGATAAGCATCCTGAGCTTCAAAGACTTGCTATCCAGATACTAAGCTTGACATGTAGTTCCTATGAGTGTAAACATAACTAGAGTGGCTTTGAGATGGTAACTAGAGATCTTTTTTTTAAAATTATGTACTTATCAACTATTTTTTATCTTAAATTATAATTTCATATATTACTATTTGTTTACGTGCATACTAAAAGAATAAACCGTTTGAAGCAAAATACAATGAACAATGTTGTATTTGTAATGAAAATTTCAAAATTGGCCAAAAAGAGGACAGCTAAGAGAGTGAAAGATCTTGACATAAATGTAAAAGATATTCAATTTGATGATGAATGGATACTGAAAAATAATGATGGAAGAATCTATGAAGATTTGGACCTAGAAGACAATTTGGAGGATGAGGTCATCAAGGAGGATGTTGATGGTCTAAACGAATATGAGGACTTAGATTTAGACCAAGGTTCAAATCAAGATGTTGTTGATGTTCCTAATATGGACAATTTAGGATGGCCCTAAGGAAGATGAAATTGATTCTAACATTTTTTCTTATCAAAATATTTTAGATATGATAAAATAAATATCTAAAGTTTGGACTTTGATTTAGATCATGTGTTTAATTGGGATTATATTTAAGTTTCTTTGATGAACAAAGATTCATCCTTTAAAGTTTGTACTTTTAATGTATTTTGTATTTGCTTTGGATTATGTTTTAGTTTCATTAATGCCTTTGTTTTCTTCCTATTTATACTATTTTATATACTTACATACAATTTTGTAGAATCTTACAATTCGTGTTACAATCCTACAAGTTACAATCTTTGACCCTTTCTCCGATCCTATGTAGAATCTCAATTTTGACTACCATGGTGAGAGGTAAACCTAGGAGGCTAAGCCCTTCTTTTAGGAAACTTCTCTTAAAGATGATTTTTTATACTTTCCAAATAAAGTAATTTGCTGAAGTCCATACCATCATAATAGAACCCAAAAGAGTACCAAGTAGATCCACAGCTAATCTAGCTCAAACCAATGCAAAAAAGCCATTACATATAGTGAGGAGAAAAAAAAAACAATGCATGAGTTTGTTAGGTAGCTAAGAGATAAATTTCCCTTTAATAGTTATCAGCTTTTTGTTTTTGAAATGTAGAATAAAATAAATGAGCATTGACATAGGAATATTAAGAACCAAATTCATCATATCCTGACTTTGTCAAAGCTGTTATTACAAACATAGTTTTTAATCTCGGATAATGCAAATCGTTGACTCTTAAAACACTGTAGTGGAATAGTGTATAATGAGATGATCGCTATTTAAAAATTTGTAATATGCATATATAATATGTTATGTATACAAAATTTTAGTATAAATGCTCAAGAAATTTTAAAAATTAATCACATAATCATAACCAAACCATGAACAGCAAAACAGAGTTTGAACAGCAAGGCAGCGGATGAACAGAAAAATAAAGCTTGAACAGAATTGCAGAGGATGACAGAAAAAACCGAGCTTTATCTCCTTCAGCAATACAGGACATGAAATCATGAATAATGAAGGAGTGCAAACAAAAAAGCATAGCATCAACAGAAAACCAGAGCTTGAACAGCAAAGCAGAGGATGAACAGAAAAAAGAGCTTGAAACAAGAGTGATCAGTGAACAGAAAAACAGGGGAGATCCCGAAAAACTGATTTTTCTGGTGAACAGAGACGCCAAAGAGGAGACACCGGAAAAGCTGATTTGGCCAGCCAAATCAGATGGGTGTGTTGGAGAGGAGGGGAGAAAGTGAGAAACTGCTTTGAGGCCCAACTTTTGTTACTGTGCAGAGAAGAGCGTGGTGCAGAGAAGATGAAGTTAGATATATAGGTTTCATAAAGGGTAGTAAATGACCTTTCTACCCTTGCAATTTAGAAAAACAGAATGGGGTTCTTTCAAAACACGCTGTTTTCTAATTGCAAAATCTATGGTTGATGGAAAAGGAGCCCAATGCCTCCAACTTATATACTCAATAATGGTAATTTGAAGGAATTTTCTTTTCCTCAAGTATTTAATAAGAAAGCAATGATAGATAAGGAGCTGAGAGACAAACTCCCCTTGGACAGTTATCAAATTTTTTGTTTTTTAACAAATGTAGAATAACATAAGTGTGAAATAAACATTAAGAATTTATAAAATCAGATTCATCATGCCCCAACTCTGTAAAGTCCATAAATTAAGGTTGTTAACCTTGAGAGTTTACTTTTACCTCATGGAATGTCCGTAAACTGAAATAATAAACTAGTAAGAGTTTACCTCATGCAAAATTAATATTCAAAAAGCCATAGTAATGAAACAAAATACAATAACAAAGTTAAAAGCATACTTAAATAGCCAAATCATATAATGACAATGTGATTTTGGAGCCCTAATTTGAGGTGTTTCACAACTTGTAGAGAAGGAAGAAAATGGTGCCCTAATTCCAAAGTGTTAATTTGGCGTGAAAAACTGATTTTACTTTTGTTTAGCTATGTTCGTAGAATAGATGTAAACTAGCAAGGTTGCCCAAAAACAAGTTTACTAATTTGACACGATTTCCTTACCTAAGATCAAGTGTATGAGTTAAAACACAAGTTTAATGTCATGTAGATAATAACCCAGTGCTCCCAACTATGTACACAATATTGGAAATCTTGAGCAATTTTCTTTTCTGAAAGATTTACTAAGAAGACATCATCCTTCTACCATAAACTATCAACAGATGTGTCATTGTGTGAATATAAAACTCTATAAAAGGTATTACCCAGGATGTTGCTAGAGTATAGAGTGTGGTATGATACATTGGACAAAAGTCAATGATATTTCTCACCTGAGGATTCCAGTTCCACAACCTACATCCATAACCACAGCACCATTTATTAGAGAGGGATTCTTCAAAATTGCTTGCCCATAGGCATCCATTCTCGCCTACATAAAGATAGATATTACTTCCATGAAACAGTGATAGCATGGCTACACAACAATTCACTTAAATTTGAAGCCAACAAATGAGAAGCACATCTTATACCTTATCACTTAACATCTCTCGATGGATACCAAATGAACTGTAAGACCCAAAATAATTTTCATTAACCTTCATAATATGCTTTGCAATGTGATTTTGAGAATAAGCCATTGAATAACCTTCTTCTGGATCCCTATCACTGCATGAAACATTTCCGCTTGAATCCTTACCATTACTAAGTTCCTTGTTTGAAGGACTAGCCCAGTTCAAACAATCATTAGAAGCAGAAGCAGTTTCCATTCTTCTACAAGCATCATATTCACCACCATTAACCCCCACTTTTATTGCAACACTTTGATCGTCACGGAATGTCTCTTCAGTTATCATCAAATCCCTCAAAAGATCTTCATCCATCGGAGTAATTTGCTCATCTTCACCTTCTTCGCCGCATTCACCAAAACTGTACAATAGAGAATCATCTTGCATGAAAGGTTTTAGATATCTATCATCATCCCACAGAGCCTTCTTTATATCATTAAAGTTGGTCACATCATGCAAATGATTCTGCAAGTCATTGTTGGACTGACATGTTAATCCACAGCTCCAACATCTTCTCTCGGCCACCTAGGAAAAATAAATCAGAAGCATGGATTAGCAAGATCCACAAGTAAACCTACACACTCCTAGTTTACTGAAATTTTACATTTAGTCCACATACGAAACAGTCAATTTATCATTTAAGGATTATTTACCAGATGAAAAAGAAACAAAGATAGAAAGTTAAAAGGACAGAATCAAGAAAATTGTAACATCTACATGTAGCTAAAGATTTACCTCTTCCAATTTTTCCGTAAACCAAAGCAACAAATAAAGACAAGGAAATTTGCATGATCAATCCCTAAATTAATGATAAAGCATAGAACAACAACCAAAAATCATGCTAAACTGCCCTCGCTCAACACTTAAATTGCATACTCTGTGAAATTCAAAACACGTGTCAATTTCATTTCTCGAGAATCCAATTCGTCTATCCCAAAAATCTAACTTCAAGAAACATTCACAGCAAGGAATCTGGATTCTCTTAAGTGTTAGTAAGATAATGTTATATTATGATAATTAAAAGGTAAAATTGATAGAGCCTACAAAAAATAACGGTCACTCCTATTATAATTGTTTGGCATCTTTCTTGCTGGAGACATGACCAAAACTAAATCTTAATTTCTCAACTTTGTTAATCCCACACAGGATTCGGAAAAACACAGGGGAGTGGGGAGGGGGGGAGGGAAGCAATGGTAACCTGAGAGCGAATAAAGTTAATGATCTTGAAGGAGGCATAGAAATCCAAGTTAAGGGCTTTTCTAATGGCATGGAAATCGAAGTGGTGAAGGGAAGCACAATGGTCGAACAAGGAACCGCACGAACCGTAGTGGGAATCACAGAACAGACAGAGAAATTCTAATTGTGGGTCTCCCTCGTCTCCTTCCCAATCGTCCCACACTTGTTCTTCTTCATCATCGTCTTCTTCTTCTTCTTCTTCCATTTTGTAAGGTTCTTCTTCTTCTTTACCCTTTTGCTTAGCGTTGAAAGCCATGAGTGTACTTAAACCCTTTCACAAACCCTAAAACAAACGGAACTTGCGTGTGTGTATATATATATACTGTAGGCGGGATCAATGCAGCATGGAGAAAGCCAGGCTTTTACCCCTTGCACTCAACTCCACTAACAAAGTGCTAATTTTTCCCCAAAAACACAAAAATAGGGTGCTACTTAGGATCCAACGGTAAACAAACAAAATAAATAAATGTGATAAAATAGAATAAAATAATTTTTTTACCTTATTTATGAATAAAATTATTTTAATAACTATTTTTTTACTATGTTACGTGTTTTTTCATTTGGAGCATATTTTTGTAATGCTTTTTAATTTTTTTAAAATTTAGTTCTTTAAATTAAGAATGTATATTATTAATAATATAAATATATACTTTTAAAAAATTATCAAATTTAAAATATTTATAAAATTTATATTTTATTTTTTATTTTAAAATATTTTTATTTTCTATTTAAAATATTTTAATTTAATGATAATATGTTTAGTTATTTAAACATTGTTGAGATAAAATTAAAAATTAGACCCTTGACATGTTTTTTCTCTCTCGAAAAGAAAACAAAAGATTTTTCTTTTAAAATAAAACAAAAGATATTTGATGAAATTGAACATAACGCATTCTATTAGGCAATACTTTCAGAAAAGATTTAATCCACACCAAAGTAAATAAGTTTTTAATTAATCTTTTGGCAAAATTTTAAACTTAATTTGTATTGTTCAAATTTAACTGTTTCACATAAATCATAATTTGTAATTGAATGTTATATGTGAAAAAGTACTTATTTTAGGAATCTAATTGAAATAGTAATGTAAAAATTATATATTACTATCCTCATCTAATTATAAAGTTATATTAATAAAAATTATACTATAAAAATAAAATAATTATTTTATTTTTAAAATATTTTAATAATAAAATAAAAGTTTATCAACTCACATAGTATAAATTAGAGTAAGGAAAAAATAAGTTTTTAAATTTGATACATTCTACCAAATAAATAATGTTTAAAGTTAGTTTTAGTTCAAATTAAATTAGAGTGGTTTTATTTAAGTCATTAAGTAAAGTAAATATTTATTTAAATAATTATTAGTAAAATAAGAAAATAAAAAATTTGAAAAAAAAATAGTGAGTTTGATTAGATTTTACAATTTTAAATTTCATTAATTTTTGTAAAACAAATTTTATCTCTAAATTTTCTCATAATTTTTTTTATTTTTTTTTGTATTTATTGTATTTTGTGTAAGCATTTACTAGTAAATTCATTAGAAATGTTGAGAATAAGGAGACAAGTTTAAACTCATAAGATTGTTATAAGAGTAGAAAATAAAATACTTGATATCACTACATTAAATTTCACTTTATAATTTGCCAATTAAGATATACTAGGAACCAAACAATAAAGTAAGGGCAATGTGAGACAGGTAAGAACACACAACCTAGGGAAAAAAATAAAACATATTTAAAAAGGCATGATAGGGAGGAGGCAAAGTGCACTCAAAGGAGATAAGTGAAGGACTTAGCAGACTAAGGCAAAGCGACAACTTTCCAGCACAACACCCCTATTAACTGATGAGTAAAAGTTGCTAATAGAATTCGTTGTCATATTTAATTAAATGGGAAACAGCTCTAGAGTGAAAGGAACAAGAAAGAAAGTCTCTCGGGAAGAAGAAGAACGTCGCCTTAGCTCACCTCCTATGATGATGCTCTTCGAAAAAAGAAAGGAAAGATTAGAGTGTAGAAGAAGATAGCACTAACAATGGACATGTGTCAAGAAGGAAAGAAGCCATAGCCAGTGCCTTAGTGAATGATAGAAAGGTTCATAATGAAGATGGGATAGTTAGCAAGGACGTTTTACTTCTTGGAGAGTAAGACAAAGCAAACTATATAAGGAATGAAGGATGAGAGGTGAAGGGACCATTTTCCCTCTTTCACGTTTGGTACTTTGAAAGTGGGGTAACCTCCTCGAGAAAATAAGCAAGAAGAATGAAGGATTCACGCTTAATAATGATCTTCCATAAGTGCACTCCCTAAGTTCACAAGCTCAGAGCGTTACATAGAGATGAAAGATGGAGCTTTGTAATTTACGGATGTCGTGAAGCACAAAGGAACGCATTCGGACGATCACTCCTTGGCACACTTGAGTGAGGGAATAACACTCAAGTAAAGTTGAGAGAGCGCTCAACTAAAGGAGAACTCACAGGTGGTATTTGATCTGGTGGGTTTTCAGGCGCCCTTCTCTCTAATAAGGGTGTTCTAAGCCTTGAAAAAGAGGTAACAATTGTCCTTGGGCGTAGCTTACATCTTGAGACATTGAACAACCTCCTACAAGAATGAGACATGTCAAGAGATGGGGGTAACTCATTCCCCCACAAAGCACTTGTTACACTCGCTTGGTTCACCCTTATAATGTCAAGTGTCCATGAGCTCACATTCATGTGTACTTCATAAGTTTACGAACCTACCTTATTGTAAAATCTAGTTCTGGAATAATTAGGGACTGTACTGGAGAAGTACACTTGGAAATGAAAGGAACTCAAGCGCAATAACCCACAGCGACGCTGAGGATGGTGTCATTCGGTTGGATCGCTTTTCATACAATAGAGGGTGAACACAAAATCCATAAGGTAAAACAAATGAAGGAGCATTGAATAATAATATCAGCAGAAGTCCTTAAGGAAAGCAGAATGCAAAGTTTGTGTTGAACAAGTCATACACTCCCAGAATGAGTTAAGCTTTCATTTTATGCCAAGGAGAATTAATAAACCACAAGAGAAAATGCGTTGATCATATGAACGCCAATTTGACCCAATGAAAAACGTTTGCCTGAAAGAATGCCCTTATTATGAGAGCATCCATACAAGAGTGAAGGCTTCACTTTGTAGAACAAGATAGCGCGATATGTGTAAGACCAGACTTTCCAATGACGCAATGATGGTTGAATGACAGTGCTCATGATTTTGAATGAGAGGAATGACAATGAAAGGAAGGCCAAAGAGTGGGGAGATTCAATGCAAGTCATTGTTATCGTGCCCTCATAATTTTGAATATACACAACAAGTTTACTAAGGAGTGCTCATGAAAGAAGGATGGAGAGATGAACAAACATAGAATCTAAATAAGTTTCTCTCTCTTATTTGCAATATTAGGACACACTTATTCATTGCCTTATGATATGTCTTAAACCAAAATGTAATAATAAAATGAGATAAAAAATGGAGTAGAGGAATCGTGTAAAAAGGAGAAGGGGAAGCGCATTTTTAGAAGCATGAAAAGACAAATTTAGGATATTACTTGAAGTTAATTGGTTTGCACAGATAGCTAAAAATGGTGCAGCAGGATGTGGGCCAATTATTGTTGTTGTATTGTGACTAAGCAAAATAGAAGCAAGTTTTGCTTTTTTTTAAAAAGGGGCAGAATGAAAGATAACATGACATAACTTTTTATGTACATGTCGCTGGACAACTTGATGAACATTGACAAAAATGACTTTGAGTCAATTCGTAGCTGACATTAGAAAATGGTTTGAGTAAAAGTTACTTTATGTTAAATGCATAGTTGACACATAAATGATTGAGCAAAAATTACGCTGGACTAAAGTGGCCTTACACAAGTACTTTAAGTGAACATGTAATAGGCAAATGATATTAAGATAGTAGTGTCTCAAACAAAGGAAGTATATCTCATGTGCCCACGACAAGTCTAGCCACTCTTCACGAAAAGGAAACAAGTGTCTCCTAATCACAAAAATCAACAAAGAAAGCATTGTCGATAGAGCAAATTGATATATGATAGCGCACTATGCAAAAAGTACAGTAGACTTGAGGGAGCGAACTGAATTATAAAGGAAGCACATCTCATGTGCCCACAACAAGTCTAACCATGCTTCACAAAAAGGGAGCAAGTGTCTCCTAATCACCAAAATTAGCGAAGAAGGCATTGTCAATAAAGCAAATTGAAACATGATAGTGCACTATGTAGAAAGCGCACTAGACTTGAGGGAGTGAACTAAATTATAAAAGAAACTCATGAATTACCATGAAAGAAAAATTAAATAAAAAAACACATGTCAAGAAGTAATAGAACCCACAATTATGAAAGAAGAACGAGTCAAATATAGTAGTAGAGCTATGTGAAAATTGAAGAGTACATCAAAATGAATACTCAATCTTGACCACTTATGTTAGAGCGCAAAACTACTCATATGCAAAGTATACACGTTAACATCATAGAGATAAGTACTTGATCTTGACTTCAAATATAATACTTACATCTTGTTATGTGTTTCAAATAGATGACAATACTGGTTGTTTGCACGATAATTAGTGATATTATAGAGTAATATGCATGAATAGTGCATTTGTTTGACAAACATGCATGCTTGACTATGTAAAATGACTATCTTGCATGAGATTATTTTCTTAACTAATTGCTTCCAAATATTCAACAAAAGATATGACTATCTTGGTATTTGGAAAAAGCAAAGGAAGATGCTTTCCAAAACATGCTTAATACTTTGCTCCCCTCACATAATGAAAGGTATAAGAGTGTCTCGATATTTGAAAGCATGGAGGGGCAACCTTTCTAAAACATGCTCGACCATGAAACTCCCTCAACCAACCTTGGCCAAGTTGGAACAAGTAAAAGGGAGAAAAGGGAGACTGATCAAGAAAAGCAAAAAAAGAGATAAAAGTCTCAGTTCCTCTATCTCACTACATGAAATGCGTAATGCAGAAGTGCAAAAATGAAACACACAATGTGAAAGTGTAGAGGTAGACATTTTCCACCATGAAAATCAAGCGCGACAAGAACAAGACTACCTCAACTAAGATAATGAACAAAAGGAAAGCGTGAAAATTACTGAAATAATAGTAAAGTACAAAGTAATACAAAATATGTCCTTTAGTGTTTCATACATAACATCCATCCATAAGCGCTCATGCATTACATACATTCATGCACAACATACACCCATAAGCATTCATGCATAATAAATATAGATATCCATAGATCAGCATATATCATTCACGTACGACATTTGCATATAACATTCATGCATAATATCCATATATATACAATGACACTTTGTCCTTGAGAGCGAGACACAAGGCTCAAACTTGAAAAAAACAACACAACATATATTTTTTGAGGTATATTCAA